AGTTTGGTATAATCTATTTATTTTTATAATTTCAAGCATAATCAATCACTCTCATTTTGTAATATTAACTTTTAATATACTATATGTTATATATTATATCAAATCTATGATTTATTAGTAGTTTTATAATATTAATAAAAATATAATGTGTAATTTGGATATCCAAAAACCGATCCAAATTAAACCGCATAAAATTGGATCGGATCAGATTGGGTTTTTTTAAATATATCATCCAAAACCGAACCGAACCTTAAGTGAATTAATCTTTGGATCGGATGAGTTTTTGCTTTAAAACCGATCCAAACCGAACCGCGAACATCCCTACTCCTAAGTAATGGGTCCACAACTAGGGTTTGATATTTCTTAAGGAATATTGGGTTTTCAAGGTCTCAATTGGTTTTCATGGTTCTCCATAGGTCTTCAAGAATGCTCATGTCAAGTTTCATGCCTTGCATCACAAGTTTGCTCGGTCAATTGCCCATTTTGAAGGGAATTCAATTATCTAAAACTTTATCCTACTAAGCTCAAGTCCAAAAAATGCATCATTTGAGAGATATAAGCCAATACATTACAGGTCATTTTAAAAGTCAACAAAAAGACACTTTTTGTCAAGGCAATTTACATCAAGATAAAATCTTCAAAAGCAAAAATGATCAACATAGAGGTTGTAGAGGGAATCTTGAGATTTCCAAAAAATATAAAATCATATTCAAAAGATGAAAATTGAGTGAGTTATGAGCATTACAAGTTGGGAAATTTTGGCAGAATTCATGAATTCCAAATTGAGCAAATTTGTAATTTTGAGTTATTGGGCCTAAGTTTTCATATCCAAACGTGTTCATAACATGCTCAAAGACCCATAAGTCCATTCATGCATTATCTTTATTTTTATTTTATTTATTTTGATTTTTATTCAATTAAACTCAAAATAAGTCAAATAAATATAAAATTAATGGGCTAAAGCATAAGCCTTTTGATTTCAGTCATGTTGGAGGCCCAATATCTTATGTACAAGTTGTCAAATTCGTGCAAGTGTGAGCCAAAAATAGCAAATTTTCATGCAAATTTCCAAATAAAATCTTCACCTCTTAATGCAAGATTTCTTTCACTTTGGTTAACCTAATTTGATTGTCCTATATATATCTAACAAGACCAGACCAACCACACACGTGAAAGCTGCCTCAAACATTCTTAAAAGAATTTCTCAAAATTCCAAAGATTAGGGCAAAGACAAATCCTATTCTCCAACGAGTTTCAATTAGTGTTGAGCCTTCCATTATCCTCTTGAGACTCCCAGGAATTCATTCCAATCATTCTTGAAGCCTAAAGCACGCCAGAACTCCCTCTCTCAAGCACATCGGTTGGATAAAATTTCATGAATTCAAACTTTTAAACTATGTGATTTAAATGAATTTGCTGCATATATTCATGTTCACATTGATGTTTAGAAGTGTTTTAACGTGTTACTTGTAAATTATAGTGCATGAATAAATATTCACCATGGCTAGGGCATCGGGATCTGATTCCTTCAAAACCTCCGCTACAATCGTTTTTAGACCAAACTAACATGCCCATTTGAAATCGCAGGACCTTAATTAGTCAATTAGGGTTGTTTTCCTCTTTGTTTTGATTGAATTTCACAGGTTTGGGCTTTTATGCAATCAGAGATGGTGACCGGAACCACCGTCCAATGTGGTTTGACCGATGGATGACTATGCGTGGCAAAACAAGATGTTATGATTGGTCCATTCAAAACATCAGGGTCTCACCTATGCGCGCGTGTTTGTTTGTCTGACTTTTAGCATTTATTTTACATTATATACTTATGAATTGACATATGCTAATGGATGTATGGACACTCCAGTGGTAGCGCGCTTGCCCTTAAGACCTTACTATGCCTGTAAACGGGTTCGATCCTAGCGTGGGACAATTTTTTTTATGTTTTATGAATTTTACATATTCAATGAAGCCATCCTCACGCGTATGTTGTACATCCCTCACCTCATCACCATCAGATCTCTACAAGCCCAAATCTGATGTTTCAGATCTCCACACTCACGCTGAACGTACTTGGAGCAACAACACTGGATCTCAGGCAGGCGTTTTGGGCTTGCATGTTTTGGGTCCAACGATTTTGTTTTTCAGCACCCCCCATATATACTTCTTGCAGGCCCATTCTTTTCTTTTTTAATTATCTTGTTTTAACTTCTCTTTTTTAACATAATTAATTTTTATTTAATTAAATTTAAAATCAATTTAGAATTAGGTTTTAATTAAATTAACCAAATTAATTCTTTCCTTTAATTAAATTAATTAGATTTTTTTAAGTAAATTAATTTCTTTTTTAGTCAAAATGAAATAGTTTTTTTTATAATAAATCTTTTTTTTCCTAACCAAAATTATTTAGTGTTTAGGATAATTATCAAAACTCTTTTTTTCATCAAAAAAGTGATCACAAAACAATTTTCTCATATCTTTTCCTTTTTACAATCTTCGCGCGCTCTTTTACTTTCTCATTAATGTTCCCAATTATGTAACTGGTATGGTTTTTAATAGTTTTAATTGGAATTTTTATTTGCTTTCTTTTCCCTTCGATTTTGTAGTTTTGTATCCCTCTTTCCCGAAGTCTTGTAATAGTTTAGGTTTACTTTCCTCACATTTACTTTCTGCAATTTACTTCTTTCCTTATAACTGCTAGTAATTAGGGCATGCGTGGAAAGATCTAAAATCAACCCTTAGATAACCCTAAGTACAAGATTAAATAACTGAATTCAATACACTTTTCACACACTCACCTCTAGGATGACCCCACTTGTTGCCTTCGGAAAACACAGTCATGTCCCTCGAACTTGGGGACGCTTTAGCAAAGTCCCTCCGATACAAAAGATCATAGTCCCTCGATGATCCTTCGATGCTGCCTTCGATAAAAGATCTTAGTCCCTTACGATAAATTGCTAAAGCGCCCCTACGAGTTGCCTTTATGACTGTACAATGATTCGCACCTGTCCCTTCGCATCCAATGATAGGGCTTCCTATTAACTAATGGTAGGGTAGCATTATCTAAGGAGGAGGAAAACAACACAAAAGACTTTTGAGTAGGTAGATAGCTCGTAATCGTTTGCTCACCAAAAAAACATCTTTTCACACAAACACTTTTCTCTGAATTATTTTCAAAACAAACACTTTGTATGCGTTCTCAATTGATACGAGAATCATTACCAAGTTTGTCGTACTTCGACATTTTAAAAATATTTTCAAACATATACAACACAAAGCATTTTAAAACAAAGTGAGCTAGCGATTAAGAGCCCGTAGATAACTACAGATGAAAAGAGTGATAACACCTTCCTTTTTCATAATCTAACTCTCCGAACTCAGAAGATTCTCGAAGGTCTTTCTTGTTCTTTTCACCCTTTCCTTATTGGATAAAAGAAAAGTCGGTGACAACTATTGCTATCCGTAACATTTGCGATAAAACACAAAACCAAATTAGTTCTCCCACCGTATTACATTCACAATTAATGATTTAGATAGAAATATAGTAATTAATAGAAGATAATGGCGAAAGTTGATCCATGTAGTCGATCACACTTTGTGAGATAAAAATTGATTGTTATTATTGTATATAATTAATTGAAACAATCATTTCATCAGTCTCGCATGTACAACTCATTTAAGGGAAATAGTTATCACAAAATAAGTTACTCTTAAATTTATAAAAATGTATTATAAAAAAATTATTTCTTTTGATAATATTTGATGAATGATATTTTTATTATGCTCTCTCTTTCATGTCATAATTCCATCTTAAAACTTGATTACTCATTAACCTAATTAAATAACCAAAATTAGTTGGAACTTAGTAGGTCCCAACCCTCAAACATAAACATTCGTGAAAGCAAAACAAGCTCCCTATGGGCCCCAAAGGTAGACCCTTCCCCCGCCAAAACCAGACACACGCACTCTCACTCACAGACTGTAACGTAACAAAGAATCCATCATTCTTTTTCTCTCTTCCTTTTTGCTTATTCCACAATTACACCTATTTTTTATAGACTTCATCATCATCATCATCATCAACATTAAGGTGCAAAGAATCATTCACTACCTTAAACAGTGTCGCCACCATTCATTTCCACTTCCTCTTTACTTTGCTTCAACCTTAACTTTCTTTCTTCCTTAACTTCACCTTTCTGATCTTCCTCGGGATCTTCCAAATCAGTCTCTCTCATTTTCCACCTAAATATAGCATACTCCTTTTTGGTAAGTTCTCTTCTTGAGGACTAATTCTTTAGAATGCTTTGGATTCTGAATTTTTCCAGTGCTTTCTTTTCTGGGTGTTTTGTGTTTTTTAAGAAAAACTGAATCTTGACTTGAAAGTAAAGTTTTTTTTATCATTGCTTCTGAGTATGTTTCTCTTCAATTTTGTATTTTCTTAAATTTGATTTCGTAAATGCGTCTTTTTTTATGGGAAGCATGATGCTATTCTTTCTTCTGTCTTAAAAATCGGCAGAAAGTAAGTAAAATTTGGTGAAAAATTGTTCGACACAGAATTCGAAATCGGATTCTCTCAAACAATGTGTCTTGGTTAGGTTCAATTACTTGGTTAGAGATCTTTGTAGCATCATTGCCGACACCTCTTGAAAAAAATAATATATATTTGTGTCAGTGTCAAACACCAAAACGAAACGATACAGACACTTGTGATTACATTCAAATTTTTTTTTTTAAGTATTATATGTGACGACTTGTCAATATTGGTGTTTGTGCTTGTGTCTATGTATGTGGTTTATAGATAGTGATACATGTTATTCTGCTTATGCATATTTGCATCATAGTTTGGGATACTTTCTTTACAACCCGATTAACTGATGTAAATCTCGACATTTCCAGATAGAGATAGAGAATTGAGAGATCAAAGAAGAAACTCCTATAGAGTATGAGATTAAGGAAAGAAAAATCTGAATATATATGAGCTGTTGAAGAAACTCTCTGATAAGATGTGGTCTGATATCGACATAAGACCTCAAAAAGATAAAGGAAAAAAGAAAATCAGCTCAAAGTCAGGTATGGAATTTAGGAATCAAGATAAATTGAAAACAAAATGTGTTGTTGATCATAGTCAGCAACCACAACTTGAAACATTAGGAGAGATTCTGAAGCGCGGGAGCATAAACGAAAGTTCAACGCAACATGAAGAGCTTGTTAAACACATGTCTAATTTGCCGGGGTATCTGAAAAGTTCTGATAGAGGAAAAAATATCCAAGAGAAGGCTTTGAATTTCGGTGTTCTTGATTGGTCGCGACTTGAGAAATGGAAGAACAAACAATCGTTTGATAGAAATGAAGAATCATCGTCATCTTCAAGGGCTGCAACCACGTCGTCTTCCAATGCTAGAGGATATAAAAAGTTTGATGATAAAAAAGGGTTATGTTCTTCAAAGAATGGTGAACAATATCGAAATTCTGGTAAAAAGATCATTGGAGGAGAGCATAGAATGAGATCAAGGGAACTTGAGTCCATTGGCGAAATTCGGTTAGATAAATCACTTCGAAAGGGGAAAAGGAGTGATTATGATGTTGAAGCTATAAGCATGCAGGGTTTCCAAAAGAAAAAAGAGAGAGGTTTTAATTCTGGTTTCGATAACCGATTTCCGTCGTTGGAAGGTAAAGTTAAATGTGTCACATTAGGATCTGAGAAGAAAATGAGTTCCAGAAGAAGTGAAGCCAAGATAAAGATGAATCAATGGCAGGAATCAGATATTGAATTTGATCAAAACCATTGTCATGGCAAGCCAAGAGACATTGTTTTGCTTCGTCCCCGAAAGTTTCTGCAATCGAATTTCGAAGACTATTTTCCACATTCTCAATCAGTAGCTTCATCTGATGAAAATTTTTCAGAATCAAGCTTGAGTAGCTCATCTTATATTTCCCTTCCCGGGGAGGCTTACGCCGAAAATATTCTCCCTTCTGTGACTAGCCTTGCTTCTTCTTCGGAAACAACGCAGCAGGACAATTTCGATACTGATCTAGATGTTGATTATTCTTCTGTTCGATCGGAGAAACCTGGCTGCTCGAATAAGAGGTCTAGTTTCAAGTCTAATAAAGATATTTGCATTGAAAAAGAAATGTTAGACGTGAAGCAAGGAAATCAGTATTCTTTCAATAATATGAAAGAGTCAACCGAGAGAGACAGGAATAACATGTCCCAACATCAGCTTAGCTTTGGCTCGAATCGATTGGGAAGAAGTTTAAGTTTCAAGGAGGGACCTACCCTTCCAAAACAAAGCTCCAAGAAAGTTAGTGCAAAATCCGGTCCATTGATATTTGAATCTTCCAATTTGAATAAATCTAGCAAAGATCATAAGGCGGGTGATCATAAGAGAACAAGATCGAGCACGATCCTGAGGTTATTAGACCCTTTATGGAAACATAAGGCATCAAACACACAGCAACATTCATCTGAAATCAGTTTGACACCAAAAGGAAGCCCGAATTCAACGAGCTTTAGGACGAATAATTTGCATGATGAATATCACAAGGAATCGTCGATTAAAGCTATTTTGCAGCTAACAATAAAAAATGGACTACCATTGTTTCATTTTGTGATCAACAGTGAAAGAAAGGTTCTTGCAGCTACCATGAATAGTTTAGCTTCGTTGGAGAAGGATGACGGAAGCTGCTATTTCACATTCTACCTTCTTAATGAAATCAAGAAAAAGAGCGGTAGATGGACGAGTCACTGGAGCAAAGAAAAGAATTCTGGTGGATATGCCTATAATATCGCTGGTCATATGAAAATTTCTAACTCTAGAATCACTGAGACAAAGGACGGGAACTTCAAGGGACAGTGTATGGTGAAAGATTACATCCTCTTCGGCATTGGAAATGACCAGCCGGATCAAGGACCGAAAGATTTCGTCAAGAGAAAGGAGCTTGCTGCTGCTGTTATTGAGATCCCTTGTGAAAATGTTAACTTGCTGAAGAAGGAATGTTTAAAGTGCCTCCTTGCAGATAAAAGATGTTTTTGCATCTCACAAGAAAATGATATTTCTGGTAGTAGTATTACAGTAATACTTCCAGGTGGCTTACATGCTTCCCCGAAAAAAGGAGAGCCTTCACCGTTGATTCATCGATGGAAATTGGGCGGATTATGCGACTGTGGCGGTTGGGATGTTGGTTGCAAACTTCTTGTTCTCTCTAACCAAAACCCGAGTTCAAAGCCCCATCTCGAGAGATTTCAACTTTTTGTTCAGGTATACTTTGTTTTTCTTCCTCAAGGCCACCCTGTTAGGATAAATTGCTTAATTAAGCGCTTATCATACAAGTGTTTATGTATAAATCATTTCTATACAAAAGATAAAAATAAGTAACCGTTTTCATAAGTTATTCTGGAGAACTTATGGAAACGTTTATGCCTAGTATATACATTTGTTGATATAGCCGATTAAACATCTTTAACACCATCCGTGTCATGAATTTCAGGAAGGAACTGAGGAAGACACGCCCTTATTCATTTTGGAGCCATTGAAAGACGGATTCTACTCGGTAGAATTCAGTTCAACAATCCCTCATTTACAGGCTTTCTTTATTTCTGTTTCTGTCTTAAGCAGCAAGAAACTACCAAGTTCGATGAAAATTCCAAGTAAGGAACTGATTTCCAAGGAGGAAGCAAGTAAATACTATAATTCAGGTCCACCACTCTCTCCTGTTGACAGAGTTTAAAGTGAATGTTTTTCTACCATCATAGCTATCTATCTGTCATATATTTCTCCAAATACTTTCTTTTTTTCCTTTATAGTTATTCTATAGTCCTTGTCACATGTATTATTATTGTATTATTAACTGTACAAAGGAACCATGTACTGCACTGCACCAATACTATCATTTTACAAGATACAAAATGTGAATAAAACTAGTACTGTTATCTACTGCACAATTTGGTCACTGTGAAACTGAACAATTGAAACTATATCATATATGAAGTAGGAGTATATGAAACACTAACAGTCTAACACAGATATAGAATCTAGATATGACACTGATATTAATGCATTAACATCATTATACTTTTTAAAAATGAAACTATTGTATACAATCTCATGTGTTGATGTCGTGTCAGTGTCGGTGACATAGAGTAAATAACTAATTAAAGTATTTGAAGTCACTTTAGATGGTACTTCAATTCTTGATGATAAGGAATATATTATTTGATAAGGGGTTCTTAACATATATTGTGTTCCTTTTATTTCTACTGTGATAATTAGGGGGTGTTAAAACGGATCGGGCTCGTCCGTTTGACCTGTTATTTTTGGCGGGATGGACTGAGGTTTTCGGCTCGGTACCTTAAGTTAGTCTGCCCCGTCTAACCCGCTTTAAAAAGCGGACTTAGGCAGGGGGCGAGACGGATTTTGCCCGCGGGCTTTTTGTTACAACTTTTTACTTTTTACTTAGAATTAAGACAACTTTAACTATAAAAACAACAATAATTCTCTTTGGATTATGGTGATTGAATTACATTCTAAATTATTTTACAGACAAATTGAATTATAATTGTAAGATTTTTTATATAACTTACTAATACATGTATTGGTTCGAAAAACTTGAAATACAAGAACAATTGTATGACATGAAGAATTATTAAGTTGTTAATACATTAGCTCACATGTTTTCTTTAGAAACAAATGTTAATTTTAAGAAAATGAAGAATTCGATTAGAGTATACGGGTGTGTTTACCGTGAAAATTGGTAAACAACCGCTGATCTTCCAAAAAAGGTTATTTTGGTTACTTGCAGGATCGATCAGTTTGATCCTAGGACATATGCTAAGTGTTTTTGGGGTTGATAAGAAGTCTTAACGTTGTTAATGAACAAGTTCGACTAGACACTAAGAGTAAAGACCTGGATAGGTTTAAATGCACAGGATGAAGGTAAAAACTTGGTAAAAACGCAAGTAAAGTACAAGATAAAGTAAATGTGCAGTAGTTTAGAAGGCTGTAATGGTAAAGTTTGCAGAAAAATGTTAAATGGCAAGGATTGTAAAGAAATGTAAATACTTTGATTGCAATAAAGTATGGTGATTCAAACGTACCTTCTCAATATTCTTTCTCTCACAGCGGGTACTTGAATAAAAATGAGTGACTTGTACAATGAGTTGAATACACGAAATTCTACACAAAATTCCTATATTTATACTGATAATAAGTAACTGTCGAACAATTGCTTCGTTCCAGGATGAGGAAAAATGTCCTATGCATGCTCTCCGACCCCTATCTTCATGCCACGTTGCTTTTCCCAACTGCCAAATGAATTGCCTTTCCTTCCTTTTTTCAGATTCAAATCCACTTGCTGCTGATACAAGAGCTTTTCGGTCGAAACTGTCTTTAACTTAGAAAATTCTCTAAGTGCTTTTTTCCTTCTTAGCAAGGATGACTTCGACACAACTCCTTTCACAGGCTCTTCTGTCAAAGTGTCTTCAGCTTAGATTTCTTCAACCTATTTTTAGCCAATAAGACCAATATATGTGAGTGTCGAATTTAGGAGCTAACAAATTGCCCCCCAAGAATGTCAATTTTGACACAAGAAGAAATAGTCATTCTTTGATGTCTCTATTCGACACCTATCCATTTCTTGGTCACATAAGTTCACAGTGAACTTTTCGAAGTTAAATGAGCTATCGAAAGAACAAGAAGCCAAGAAAAAAGAGGTCGAGGAGATCGACCAGAGTACTGCTAGCATGAAAGCTCAAATCAAAGAACTGGAGACGAAGATTGTTACGAATGACAAATGCAGAGAAGAGCTTCTTGCCAACAACGACTCTGAGAGCCAGGAGGAGCTTAACAGTGGACTGAAGTATGCTGAATAAGCCCAAGCCTTAGATGCAAAGATTGAAGCTCTCCATTAGTCGAGGGCTTTGTGTGAAAGGTGCTTGGAACTTCAGAAGACTAAATACCTCCAGATTAAGGCTACTCTTCCATTTTGATTAGACTTCTCTTTTGTACAACCATGCTTATGTAACGAATATTCGAACCCTCAGAATGAGTTTATGTAATGATTTGGAGCTATTTTGGCCAACTTAATGAATTCTCCATTTTGGCTATATATTTCGACTGAGATCAATTACTGATTATTTTAACTTCTTGAAGTGGAGGTCTATATTTTTTCAAATATTTACCATTTACTCTCAAGAGTATTTTATCTTCACTTAATTCTTCGATCTCGTAGGCACCACCAGAAAATACTTGGATAATCTTAAAAGGTTCTTCCCATTTAAGATACCATTTTCCCATGCTCTTATCCTTTCGATCTATTGGGAGAATTACCTTCCACACCAAATCTTCAAGCAAGAATGTCTTGGGTTTTACTCTCTTATTATAATATTTTTCCACTCTTTTCTTCTGTATCCTTAAGAGGTCGGAAGCTCTCAATATTTCTTCGTCCAAATCAACCAGTTCATCTAACATCATATTCCAATAAGATTCAAAAGGAATATATTGATGTCTCTGAATTCTTGTTGACTGCAGACAGATTTCTACTGGCAACACTGCGTCATGACTATAGGTTAATCAAATGGTGTCGTATTGGTAGCTTCTTTAGGAGAAGTTCGACATGCCCATAAGATTTGGTCCAACATCTTATGCCAATTCTTTGGATTTTTTCCTACATGCTTTTTTATTAAGCCAATCACTACCTTATTTGTCGCTTTGACTTGGCCATTGGCTTGCGCATAATAAGGTGTAGATGTTAATAACTTGAATCCCATTTCTGTAGTAAATTCTTGCATTTTTCGACCAGTAAATACTGATCCTTGATCAGTTGTTATTGTCTCAGGGATTCCAAACCTATATATAATGTTCTTTTGAATAAATTCAATGACATCTTCTTGGTCTAAATTGACTAAAGGAATTGCTTCAATCTATTTAGTGAAGTAGTCAATGCCCACCAATATATATTTTTGGCTTTTAGATGATGTTGGTAGAATCTCTCCAATAAGATCCAAAGTCCATCCCCTAAAAGGCCAAGGTTTCACAATTGAGTGAAGTTCGCTTGCAGGTACATGCTGAATGCCTGTATGTACTTGACATTCTTGGCAGCCTTTTACAAACTCAACACAATCTTTCAACATAGTAGGCCAATATAATCCTTGTCGAAACAACATCCATTTCATTTTATGGCCTACTTGATGTGTTCCACATGCTCCAGCATGTATAGTCGAAAGGGCTATATATGCCTCTATTTCACTTAGGCATTTTAGTAGTACTCCTTCAGGCATCTTCTTGAATAACTCATTTCTCATTAGAATATAACTCAACGCCCTTTACTTGTCTTTCGTTCTGTCGAAGCTGTTGGACTTTGCAAATAATCTACTATAGGCTTTCTCCAATCTTACTCTGTTAGACTGTCTTGGTCAGCGTACCCCAGCTTTGTTGTTTCCAAATCTGTTGGAGACAGCTTGGTTGATACTACCCTTCCTCTAACTTCGATCGCTTGTTGTAATTTTTCTTTTGAAATTTTATATCCATATACGATCTGTGCTAAGTCATTAGCCACTTGATTTTCTAATCTTGGTATATGTCGAATATTGATCACTTCAAATTTTTTCAACAAGCGATTGACTATTACAAATTACATGATCAGATTTTCTCTTATACATTTGTATTCTTTTGTAACTTGCCTTATGACTAACTCTGAGTCTCCCATTATTTTGACTCGAGTTGCCCCTAATTCCAACAATATTTCAAGGCCAACAATTAAAGCTTCATACTCAGCCTCATTGTTCGAACAAGAATCTTCGATCTTGTACTTTAATTTTGTTGGAATTTTATTTGGAGAAATAATTAGAACTCCCACTCCAATTCCATCTTTATGACTGGAATCGTCGAAGTATAACTTCCAGGATTCAATCTCCAAGTAATTTAAGGATTCTCCATTTATTGAGTGGTCGACTATAAAGTCTGCTACCACTTGTCCTTTTACAGTCTTGAGAGGCATAAAGGTTAGTGAATGCTCAGTTATGCAAGTGCCCATTTTCCAATTCGACTGTGCAAGATGGGTTTCGACAACATATATTTGAAAACATCGAAATGAGACGAAACATAAACATCAACTGGTTTAATATATTGCTTGAGTTTTGTACATGAGAAGTAAAGACATAAACATAGTTTTTCAAATTCGTTATATCTAGTTTCTGCATCATTTAAAACTCTACTGAGGTAGTAAATGAGCCTTTCGACACCATTCTCATCCTCTCGAGCCAACATGCTCCCTAAAGTTCTAGCAGATGCAGCTATGTACAATCTCATACTCCTATTTCTACAAGGAGGCACCAGAATAGGTGGATTGGTGAGGTATCCTTTGATTTTGTCGAAGGCCTCTTGTTGTTCTTGCCCCCATTCGAATCCTCCTTTGTTGAGTCGAAGTAAGGGTGAGAATGCTTGAGTTTTTCCACTTTAGTTGGATATAAATCTCCTCAAGAAATTTATTTTGCCAAGTAGAGATTGCAATTCCTTCTTGTTTGTTGGCGCTTTCGCCTCCAAAATGGCCTTTATCTTGTTCTGGTTTATTTTGATTCCTTTTTTTGTGGACCACAAAGCCTAAGAAGTCCCATGCCTTTACGCAGAAAGAGCACTTTAGAGGATTCATCTTCAGACCATAGCTTCTCATCCTTTCAAAAGATTGTCGAAGATGGTCTATGTGATTCTTCCCTGAAACAGATTTGACAACAA